CGATTTCACTTTGGCCTGCACAGAAATTGTCCTTCTTATCCTTACTACCAAGACAAAATTTAACAGCAGTAGGAAGCAAGGTAAACTCCTGTAATGATAAGATACCCTAATTTTTACAAATTATCCCTAAGGACATTCGTCAGTACTGCTTGAAGGATGCATTTGTCAAAATAAATCAGTTTGGAGATGCCTAGCCCTGATGGGTTTTTTTTCCTTCCTCCCCCTTCCCCCCTCCCTCATATGTTTGTTTCCTCAGTGGGAACTTAATTTAAGACTTTTGAATCAGAGAAAGACTTTCTTTTGATTAACCCTCCCTATTCATAAATTTGAAGTGAAGGAGGGACCATTAGATCATCCCGTCTGACCTCCTGAGCAGCATAGGCCATGATATCATGCACAGTTACTCCTGCACTGAGCCCAGAAAAGTGTGTTGATGCTAACACATGTCCTTCAGAAAACTACAGCATGTTTGTGGGTAGAAGTAAAGTCTTCAGTTGGAACAACTCTTTTTTAGAGTGGAAAAAACCCCAATGTGCTAAAACTTTGTTAAAGGTGTATAGACAATCCACCACTTTTTTGTTCGCCTCTTTGAATTTTTAACAACCTAAATGTTAAAATTATTGATAGCAATAACTAAAGTATGGAGAATGTTCTCCTTGAATGCAGGTTTTTTGTCTTTTTTACACTGTAGCATGTCTTGATGGTCCTAGCATATTCCATTCACTTAGTTGATAACTCATCAGTGGTCTGAGAGTCCTCAGTCAGAAACCTACTGAATACTTAGTATTTTTAAATCTTTCTTTTAATCTAAGCCACTTGGTGATGTATCCTGACTGTGAGTACCTCAGTCTCAGTGGCTGTTTCTCTTGGACAACACTGATCTTGTCTCTGCAGGCTAAATCTCTCTACACTGTCCAGTAAGGGAATGTGGGAACATATTTTATCTTTACTGTCCAGTTATCACATGAGAAATCTTATTTTTTTTTTCCAAGTTCAAAGAATTCTTAAGGGGCAGTAGGAAACATAATTTAGAAAGATAGGGCCAAGAAGCATTATTAATATGCTAGGGGTATTAGAAATTCTTGCCTTTCAACTTAGATTAGTCTCGATATGATCTAAACACATATACATGGAAAATTTATTTTAATATAAGCATTTGGGGGAGGAAAAGTTAACTCTCAGCTGGCTATGCAAACCACCCAGACCACAAACTTTAGAGAAGTGGAAACTTGCTCCGTCATATTGTATTTCACTGCCATCCATCTGATACATCCCTGTGAAGGATGCTGTCCAGAGCACATGGGGAGCCACAACGCTTCCCAGTCTGCTCCTGGGGACAAGTCACCAACCCAAACACCAGTGTCCTTGCCTCCAGCCCCAACCCAGCATCTCCCAGTGTAGAGTCTGGTGACCACAGCTCCTGGAGTCAGGTACCACTGTGAACCCCCAGCATCATGTTCTGTGACTGCAAGCATCCAGAGGCCAGGCTGATGCACACGCGTAGGATGCCATGCTGCAGCTACAAAACCCTGTTGCTCATAGCAGCACAGCAGAGAATCAGAGTCCAACAAAACATGATCTATTGCTCGATAGTGCCTTCCAAATCTTCACCAGTGTTTTGAAAATACCAGGCTCTGCTGAGAATACAATTTGTCAAAAATAATGAAAGCTTTGTTCCTTTCATCATATAATATCTAATGTTTTTTTCTCCAGTCAAAGTTACTTTCTGGTCTTGGACCAACTACATTTTCAGCTTGCAGCAACAAACATTTGCTAACAACAAACATTCGCTAATTATAATCATTGGAGAGCCTGGAAACTGGTTTCACAAAATGTCCTCGATCTCTATTTTGTGAAGGAAGAAAAGATATGCAGAATTAGCTGTGTTTTATTTCAGTCAGCCAGAATGGTGTGTGCATACCACTTTTCAGATGGAAAAGCACAAGCATGATTCCTTCCCTGAGTTTTTTGCAGTATAGATAAAGGTGCATGATTTCATGCTTATACATTATTACTTCTAACTTTCTAAATTATCAGTGAGAGAGACAGAATGTTAAATGCCTGCCTGAACTGTCATTAGTCTTTGGTGGAAATATCAACTGTCATTCTGAACTTGGCAATGCACTTTAAACACAGAAAACTTAAATTTAAAATAAAGCCCCTTTCATCTGATAAAGTTGCCAGGGACTATAAAGTAATTAAGCATACAATAACATATTGAGCCATGGTGCCCTCTCAGCAGGCATGATGCTGCAAAGCTGGGTGTGAAACCTGTTCTTCGGTAAAGCATACAGCTCCTATTCCCAAAATCTCCCCACCGCTCTCTGTGGCTGGCCGGGCAGCTTATCCTGACTGCTTCTGCCACCAGCCTCTTCCAAGTCTGCAAAACTTGTTCAAGAAAGGGGCTTTGCACTAAGGAATTTTCTGCAAGGAGCAGGAGCACAGCACATACAAACATGATGTTTATGACACAACAGTCTGCCTTGTATAACTGTTTGGCATCCTTGCAGTGTATCTGCAGGTGTCAGTGTATCTCAAAATACTGATATTCCTATAATAGTCTTACAGGAAAGAAAGAACATTAGTGATAAAGCAGAGAGAGAGATGAAGGCAAAATAAAAATTGGAAGGAGTATACTTAAGGAGAAAATGGTTGTCAGCTGAAATACTGAGAGAGTAATACTTTCATTACTCAAAAGGACTATGGGAAAGGCTGGGATACAAGAAGGATTAAGAGTATAGAGAATGAATAGAAAATACAGAGAAAAAAAAGAAAGAAGTAGGGAAGAATCAGAGACGGAAGAAATCATTATTGTCATTTTTTTATTTTGTAGAAAATTTGCTTTTGTACAGCATCTGACTTAACCATATATCAAACAGACAGCCTCAAAGAAATTCACAACCCTGGAAATAGAGGCCAGAGACAAATTGTGTGTGCCTTGCTCTGACTCTTCTTGGAAGCTACAGATGTTCATTGTTTGAACACACAATGGACAGATTAGTATCTCCAGATGTTCACCATCCATCCTCACAGAACAGTAATGGGCAAGCCAGGGAATGAATGCTTTTAGCAGAAACTTCAGTTTCCACTACTGCTTCAGATGAAGTATTTTGTCAGTGTTTATGTTCTGGAGAACACCTGCTGTAAATGTAAGAAGCCTGTGCTACAGAGCAGTGCCCGTCCGCGCCACCACCCAACACTGCACAAAGCCTGCAAATCACCCATACAAGTGCTGATGAACTGACTTCCAAAGAGAATGAGAATCCAGCACTGCTTTTGACTGTTTTACCTGATAGGAATAAGCAAATATTTAAAATTACAAAAGTATTTAAGTGATTGAGTGGCTCAGAGAGTCAGTGCAAGGGTAGTACTTCTCCTGAAGTACAAAATTAGACAACTTACGTAAGAAATTTGAACAGGAATTTTTCCATAATTATACTTCTTATTCCCAGACGAAAAGAGCATGCATCGATTTAGCATCATCAAATTTGATATAACTGCTTGTCATACATTTATTTATTCTTGCAAAAAACCTTGCAATGGCATTTTTTGCAAAGTCTCTAGATAAATGCCCACTTTAATTTGAAGAAAAAAGCTGCTTACCAGCAATTCTCTATGTCATATCATATAAAACCACAGATGAAATCCTACTGAAAAACAGTAATTCAGCAGCAGCACCAAGTCTCCCTGAAAATGATTCAGATAGTTTTGAAAATGCTACCTTAAATATGATTGGCATGGTTCCCTCTCATTCTCATTCATGGATTCCTACTGGCCAAAAGTAACCTCTGCTGAAGCAGACTTAATCCTATGAAAATTCTGTAAGCGAAGGAAGTCATAGAATCATAGAATAGTTAGGGTTGGAAAGGACCTTAAAATCATCTAGTTCCAGCCCCCCTGACATGAGCAGGGACACCACACACTAAACTATGTCACCCAAGGCTCTGTCCAGCCTGGCCTTGAACACCGCCAGGGTTGGAGCATTCACAACTTCCTTGGGCAACCTATTCCAGTGCCTCACCACCCTCACTGTGAAGAACTTCTTCCTTATATCTAACCTAAACTTCCCCTGTTTAAGTTTAAAGCCATTAATTCTTCAGTGTATGAATCTATAAGAGAAAACAGAACAGGATTTGGTTTTCCACTGATATGAAGAGGATGTTTAAGAGGTGTGTGCTTTTTCCAACTTGCATAATTTCAGTTAAACACATGCTCAGATGGCAGCTGGGAGAACTGGAGTTTCTCAGATTGAGCTACAGCTACAATACAGATGCATGTTGTCCTGCATTGGAGCATCTCACCCTGAGAAGAACAGTTTCCTTCAAGAGGCCGTATCATTCCGCTGTTTTTTCTGCTGCTGCTGCTGCCTGGAGTGGCACCAGTTTTCCTGTGGGAAGGTCAGGTCACTTCAGCTGACCTAAATTTGCTCTCAAAATGCCTTTGCAATAAACCAATGGAAAGAAAAAGTTCTGGGAAACTGAACATAAAATACTGTCTCTTCTCCAGTGAAATCATGGAGGAATTTAGCTACTCCTTTCAAGAGAACAAGGAATTCACACCCAAAAGATCAATATCCAAATAACCCACATAAAATCTGTGGGAGCCATTGTATGCAGCAGTTTTGAAAAAGCACTCACTTCTGCCTGCAGGTGGGTAACCCACTTTCATAGGAAGAAAAGCATATTTTGTGACAGTCAGCAGAAGAATATAAGAAAAGACCCTTAACAGGAAGAATGCAATTAAAAAAATTAGCATGCCATTAAACCAAGTATAAATACACATTATTTTACAGGAGTGAACTGTGTTTTCTTTAGTGTACATGCCATTTTTTAATAATTCATACACTAAGTGCTAAAGTGTTTCTTAATGCCATTAGGTGGTGCTTTCAGTAAGTAATAGAATAAATATTTCTTGCATGATTCTTTTCTGCATTGTGGTCTCATTTTCTGAAGTAAAAGAGAATTTAAACAAGACACCACAGGTGCCTCCTCCTTCCAAAGCCCCCCAACCTCTCACAAAGATGTGTATCACGTTTCTGAGGCACTCTGGCTCCCTTCAGGTGTGATAAACTGCACTTTGGGCACCATGAGAGAGGGATTGGTTCTCCGCATGGAGTTGCTCCTCCGAATAGAGTTGTTCCTCCTCATGGAGTTGCGTTTCCGCAGGGAGTTTTGGTGGGACAGCTCGCTCTTCTGCAGTGTCTGGATGAGAATGGACGGCTTCTCATCGAGCTCTCGAGCGCTGCAGCGTGGTGCTGCCACTTTGACAGTGTTGCCAAACTTGGAGTAGTCAACTGCGTATACACCTTCCTCTTCAGTGACAATGGGCACAAAGCGGTGACCCCACAGGATCTCCTCTGCTATGTAGGAGGTTCTCGCCTGCGTCGTGATGCCAGTTGTTTCTACAACTCCTTCAAGTATCACGATGAGCTCCAGGTCCTGGAGTGCCAGGTCAGCAGCAGAGATATCGTACAGAGGACTCCGCTTGTCTATAACATGACAAATGATTAAGGGAGCCACAAGGAATATATTGTTGCTTTCAATAGGGTTATCCACAGGGATATCTACTTGGTGAATGGGTATGACTTCTCCTTCAGGGGTCGTAGTCTTCCTCACAACCTGGATTCTCACCGAGGCACTAATGATCATGCTTTTCCTCAGGTCTCCCACTCGAAACATGAAGCAAAGTTTGCCATTTCGAACTGCAATGACTGCCTGCCGACTGAAAATCAAGGTCTCAGCCCGCCTGTGAGCTTGTGCAGTTTTCATGAATATGCAGCCCAGCATGACAGCATTGATGATCAGACCCACAATGTTCTGCAGGATCAAGACCGTAATGGCCAAGGGACATTCCTCTGTCATCATTCTGCCCCCAAAACCAATGGTCACCTGAACTTCAATGGAGAAAAGGAAAGCGGAAGTGAAAGACCTGCAGAAGAAGACAAAGTTAATGCTAAGGATATTGAACACAAACTAAGAAGCTATTAGCATATACTTTCTAGAAACAAACTTAAGGACCTCTTTGTAGAGTCCTGGTACACTTATGCCTTCTGTTAACACCAGAAAAAGCGTTGCATGCTCAGTGGCTGTTTCTGTATGATTGATGCAGTATCTGATGGCTTCAAGGAAGACCTCAGAGACTGAGCTCCTAAAAGACCATCTATAAACTAGGTGACTTTGAGAAGCTCACTAGATTTTCTGTTCAGGAACACATGGTGACCACTGTGTTAGTCAACACTGCTGCAACATCTGAGCTTTCCACCTTCCCAGCCCATGAAGCTCTTGGTGCAGAGTGGTGGTTTTGGCAATAGTAAGCAACCATCTAGCACACCAGAATTCTTCCACCAGCCTGTGCAAGGAAAAGAAACAGGGAAAACTACAGCATTTCATTTATACTACCTGAGTTGTGATACCCATTAGCAGGGTTTCTTGGAGGGAAAGGGGACACTCACAGATTCATGACACTTCCCAAACCCTTGCTTGCCTTGTTACTGAGCCCTCAAGATCTGGCTGCAGAAAGCAGCACTGCAGGGCTTCCATGGTCCCCTCTGCACATCCCAGCAGGAGGACAGTGCTGTGACCCAGGGTTTGGGTTTAACTTGCTGCAATGGCCAAACTAGCTGGAAAATTTCAATACAGAAGTGGGTTGTAGAAGTGTGGTTTAAGTTAAATGTCCCTAACATGCTATAGTGCTGGACAACAGAGGATACTGTCCACAAGTTTTCCACAATACATTATTTATAGTAGTCCACGATGGCCTATCTGCTGTATATACCAGGGTCTCTAGTTTCCTTTTATAACCAGATATATCCTTCACAAAAGTCTCTTGTGCCTAAAATAAGTACCTTGGGGTTTATTCAGTAGACTTGCAGCACACTGGCACTCATATGAACTAATGTCATAGTCATCTTTTTCACACAGTGCTATCCACCAACATTTGAAGCATTGCCATGCTCAACACAGTTTTACCTATGGAATATATGTCTTGCCCATGGATATGGATCTAAACCATTTGGTTTCATTTACTTTTAAATCAATATGTTTTTAAATATTTTTTTCTTTTTGTTCCTAACCGTATTTTCATTGAACCTGGGGTCACAAGTAGACATTAAAATAGCACAGGCAATATTAGGAATAACCTGTAGAATGAGAAAGTCCATCTTTCATAAAACCAGAAGAGGGATCTGTGAAAGAACTTTGTCCTTTTTTTTTTCCTTTTCTATTTTTTTTTATTTTTACAGATTCCCTTGTATTTCACTCTGAAGAAATAAGGAATGAAGGAGTTAATTAATAGAATCCATGGAATGATTTCTTATGTTGATGAATATTTAGTTACATGGAAAATGGAGCTTCTGGTTTAAACTTAATTCAGCTTAATCAAACTTAAAGCTCTGTGGAGTAAATATTCTGATTTCCCTTAACAGTACTCCTTCTTAAAAAGAAAAAAAAAAAGAAAGAAAATCCACCTTTTTACAGGGGAAATAATGGAAGCAGCAAGTTTGTACAGCATTTTCACCACATGAAGAGGGAGCCAGAAACTCCAAATCATGCTATTCCCAGGTCCTTCCCTTTAGACCTGTGTAACAGCCTTCCTCTGTGGAGGATGGTTGTTTTCTGTGGCAAAGAGCTGTGAGACTGACATTTCTGCAGTTCTTTGAAAAATTAAAGTGTTGTGCATGGTCTGGGCACTGGTTAAAATTTCCAAAAGCAGGTTTCCTCTAGATCTCTAATGGCACCTGCCCAAAAAAGCTCTCCTGAAATATCCATGGGCTTAAATCTCAGGAAAGTAAGTTAAAAAATATTTGCCATTATTTTGGCATTCATATCATTGCAATATGAAATATAGTTTACATCCAACAACTCACCATTCTTTAAAATGTTAACAATCATGTTGCTATTCTATCACTTTGTCTAAAGCAGTAGCCAGATTTAACAAGATGAAGTATTTCACTATGAAGGGAAAAGATTTTCCATGGCTTGGACATGGATACTTGAGCAGCTGTTACCTGAACCATCCCAGGTATCTGCACGAGGGAGTGATGTGTGTTCTTTTATCATGGGCTAAACCAGAAAGTTACACCGACTCACTTGCTCTGCTTTTTCCCACTTCCCAGCGTAGGGCTGCGACAGCTGGGGCTATGGGGAGGGAGCAAGGGTGAGATCTGTGGCTGTGATCCCCCTTGTCCCAGTGGCACAAAGCCCTCAGCAGCCAGCTCAGGCTCTGCAGGGTGGCCCAGGAGTCCTGTGGGGAGCCCCAGTCAAGAGGCCAAGCTAAGGGGGCCACCAACCAAGCAGAGGGACACCCCCTTGCCTGACCCTGAAGAGCTGGTGGGGTGTAGCTACTTGCTACTTCAGGTTGGATGATTTCCACAAACCCTAGAAATGCCACGGGTGACACCTCAGTGGGTGCAAGCTGGGTCATGATGTCTCATTCCAGAGGCAACTGCTTGCAGCCAGTTATTGGAAAAGAAATAAGACAGGACTCCCCCATGTTAGTTTGGAAAAATCCCCATTTCCTTTAGCTTGGAAAATCATAATTTAGCAAAAAATGTCAAAACAAAAGGAGAATGAAACCTGCGCTCCCTCAAGAGTCAGATACAGTATCTCTTCAAACTTGGTGAGGTGCCTCAAAACTATGTGCAGGAGGAAAGAGAAGAGGGAAGTGGATACTCTGATGTCTCAGCAGACCTGCAGACACCTCCCCCCCCCCGCCCCTGAGTCCCTCACAGCACTGCAATGTGTAAGGAAGCTGATCTGGGGCAGTCTGGTGGTACCAAATTAGGATTTTTCTGCTGAAAACCTAGTGCTATAAAAAGAGATTTTACTGATGACATGACAAAGTGATCTTATTGCTTGCCCCACCTCCCAGTTAAAATCTCTTCTATTCCGTGTGATTATGTGTCAGTTCGTCGGTGCCTTGAAAATCGTCATGGCTTTGGGGATGGGGAGTAAAACGCTTTAACAGGTGACATTCAGTCTAGTAGTCCCTTAAGCTTTCACTGTCTGTCACATCATGCACACTGTGGAAACGATTCCTCTGTCAAAATACTGGCTTATGGCTTCATCAAGGTATTTTGAAGCACCCCATATTTAGCTGTCTCATGAGAGTCATCTTGAAAGACTAGTTTTGCCTTAAGCAGTGCTTTTCTTGCTAGGATATCAGGCTGACACCCACAGCTGATATCCTGCTTCTCAGACATTGCTCTTGGGGTGGCCACCTTTCACTGGCATGGTGAGTAGCTCACACCACGCTGGGGATGCTCCCGCTGCCGTAGACAAGGTTACAATACATATAACACATACCCACTCTTGTAGCAGGCTCTTATCTCGACAGGCAAGGTATGTTACCCACAGAGTGTGGAGACACATGAAAAGCAGCAGGTCTCCCTCTCTTTCAGATCCTGTAAGGAATCAAAGAAATCTACAGTACAGTATTTTCCAAGCCCAGAAGGCTTGCTGAATTTACGTAATCTAGAGGAAAACACTGCACTTTTCAACTGTCTCAACCAAACACAATGGTTCATGTAAACCAAAAGCTGCATTTTAGCATTGTTAGGACAGCAGGCAGCTCTGTTCCACCCCCTTTCTTCATCCCACTGACCATATTTTACCTCACACATGTCACACATGGTGTCCACTTCGTGCTGTTCGTAGTGCTTTCTGTGCTTGGGTCCATGTCACCGTGGGCAAAAGCCACCAGCCACCACATCATGGCAAAGAGCAGCCAGCTGCACAGGAAGGACATCGTGAAGATGACCAATGTATGACGCCACTTCAGGTCCACCAAGGTGGTGAAAATGTCTTGCAGGAATCGCCCCTGCTCACGGATGTTCTTGTGTGCCAGGTTGCATGCCCCGTTCTTGGCGATGAAGCGGGCTTTGCGTGGCCGGTCTCGGATGCGTGGCTTGCGGAGGTTTTCGGCAGCGATCCGTGCCAACACATACTCTTCAGGGATGATACTCTTCCGAGCCAACATCTTCCTGCCACCATAGTCCACTCAGCTAGATGCAAAATGGGGGGTGGTCCCTCTAGCACATCTCCACAGAGCTCACTCTAACCTGAGAAAAGAAAGAACCTGGTCAGCTTTGTGCACTACAGGAAGAAGCCCTGATGAGATGCCCCCTACCAATAGCCACGATACTAAATGTCACTGCATGACTACTTATTCTACAGTGCCATCCCTCTTTCAGACTGTAATTTTTATAAAAGCAATTGGCTTCAGCTCCTAACACAAACAAAATATGCTCTTTTGGCACTCCTTGCAGGAAGGGAGGCTGCAGAATAGTCTTGCAAACTTGGTGTAAAGCAACACGACGTACAACAAGTCAGTTCCTCAGGCTATTTCTCCAGGAGACAGCAGCGCCCAGGTGGGTACCTCAACACAGAGCACTAAGTTACTCGCATCCTTCAGGACCCGAAGAATCAGACCTCTCTGGTTGGAACCAAGGCTAGTCTGTGGAGACACCGTGAAGACTCATTTCTTATGGCTATGGCCTCGCAGCCTAGCCCTGACGAAAACCCCAGTCCCCCGAAAGCATCACAAGCAGGAGCTGAGCTGGCAGTGCGGGAAGTAGGGAACGGGACTCCACGAGCAGGCGGTCGCACTTTCCCTTCGCAGCTCTCCGTCCTTTTCCGGGATAAGGCGGGGAAACCCTCCCCTTTATTCCCAAACTATGTCCCCAGACGGGTGACAGAACAAACCTACAGAAAGCCTGGCTCCCCCCTGCTCCCCGCCGGCTAGCCCGTCCCACCGGGCGACGGGAGGGGAGGG